AAAAAAAGAAAAAAATCATCACATTGAATGTGAACCAGGAGACTGTTCTAGAACATTCGTCTGGTTAACAGTAATTTGTATTTACTGGCTAATGATCAGTAACTTTAGAGACTGCACTGAAGAGAGTTAAAGAAAAACCCAAGCAGCTACTGAGATCCAGAATACTATACAACTACAGGAAACTTGCTGCCTCAGGAAGGACAGACAGAGTCCTAGGTTGCATTCCTTCCTAACATCAATACAGGTGGTTTTACAGCATACCTGCCTACATACATACCTTAATAAAAGAAGTGTTCTTAAAAATTTTGAATGGAAAACCAGTTAGCTTTAATTTCTTCACAATAGTTATGGATTTATCTAAATCGAGCACAACTCCTGTGGCAGCAATCCGGAAATCAGGCTGAAACACAGAGACAGACACTGCTGAATATTTATTTACCAAACACTGAAGAAACCATTTCACTGATAAAATTTCACTGCATTTTAGAGTTTAAGTTCATAATTTATAACCTTTACAGGAGTGTAGCAGCATGACAAATGCAAACTGACTTCATACAGACTAGTTGAGGTGCTGCTGACATAACACTCCTACCATTCACTGATGAGATTTTCAGAACTGCCACTCTAATTACCTTGGAAGCAATCTAAGAGTCCTTGTTATCTGCCTCACTGTGTTCTCTTTACGAAATAAAATTTTACTCAGACAGAAAGTCTCCAAGAAGTGCTCTGTGCACTGCTCTAAGTCAGTCACTATATTATGCCAGGGACACATGATGAAAATAGCCTTTTAATACACATAACAAGATGACTGTGCAATAGGACGTAAGGCAAATTTTAGGAAGGAGATAATACCACTCAGATTACTGTCATGCTCATTACAATGCCATACAAAGCTTTTGTCATACATTGTATGTAAACATAAATCTACCTTTGGGTAATATATACGTAACAAAGATTGTACTTCACAAACACTGCTTTATCACAAACACTGCTTTAACACTGTTTAAATTAATTTAGACACCCATAAACATTCTAACAAGATGCGGAGAAATTACATTGAGGGCAAACTTTCAACAGGAACATCAGTATCTCATCCTGTAAACAAGTTTTAAAAGTTATCTAAATACTTAGTACCTGAAAATCAAGCAGGTATAAATCCTTCCACAGAAAATAATAAAGCAATATTTGTCATTTTCAGTGTAGCAGATTAAAATTGTTAAAAAAAGGTTCTATCCAGTTTCCTATCTCATTCACAAGACACCTTTCAAAAGCTTGACTCCACCTATTTTCTCAGTTCTTACATCACTGCTTTACCATATGTAAACCTTCTTCCCCAAATCTATATATTTTATCCAAAGACCCGTGGAAAGCAGTAATCAACACTTTGTTTTAACAAACTTACCGTTGTGCCACTGACAGACTGAACTGCCAAAAATCCTGTCCCCTGAGGAGTGATGGGCCCTACAAGAAAATTACATTTAAAAATTTATTAAAAGCTTTATTACACAATATCTAGCCTGTATTTAAAGCCAGAAAGCTTAGAACTTTGTGCCAAATATTCTCAACTAATAAAACCAAAGAAAACCCATTACTCATATATATAGCCCCATGAAAGTTAAAGGAATGGTTAACAAGAAGTTACTAACATACAGAAGCATTTGCAGGGCTGGACCCATAATGTGTGCAAGTGTCTCTCTGCACACAGCCACCAAATGAGGTTCCTTTTTGATGTGATACAGCCTAGCAGAATGCTCAGAAATTTATTAAAAGCCAAATAATTCACACACAACAGGCAATTGCCTGTTTTCCCATACTATTTGGTGTTATTTTACATTCCATTGGGAACACAACTTTTTAAAGAATTCTGATTCCAGAAGCAACTGGCTCTATTTCCTGGATACATCCTGTAAAGCCTGAGAATTTTATAACTATTAAGTGATCCAGGATAGTAACTCCAGAATGCCCTCACCCCAAAAAGTTGCTCCACAATGCATATGTTGGGGTGTGTACTTGAGAAGCCTATGACGCCCATTGTGATCTTCAATGTAGAACATAGGGATAGTCTGAAATCGCCTCCACCCTAATGAGAGGATTAAAGCATCACGTGTCTTAAGTATCTTCTTATACCATCGGTGCTTCTTCAGGCGCAACTAATTAGAAGAACAGATGAACAATGCTATTACAGAATAATAACATTAATTCTGAAATTCAAGCCTTAAATTTTCAGGAATGATTGAGAGCAACTTCCATCTACACTAGAATTTTTTATTCAGTAAGCTCTATATCTTTTAACATTCTCATTAACGCTAGGTTGACTGGAAAGAAAGCTAATCTGTATTTCACTCACTTTGAAGTCACGTTTGTATGCATACAAGCAAGTATTGTATTAAAAAAAATATGTAAGTGCTAGTAACTTTTCTATAGCCACTCATCCATAGACCACGAACCTTCAAGTACAACTTATGTTTGCACTTTAGCAATCACAGTATCAGACCTTAGTCCTGAGTCACCTCTGCAGATGAACATTAAACAACTTCTTCCAGTTATCCAATTAAGCCTATAAAAATTCAGTGTCTGCTACTGTAATTGTGCAAAAGCAAATCTGCTATTCAAGAGAAAAAGACAAAGGTTTCTCTCTGTGTTTAGCGTATCTTTAATAACAGAAAATAATAACTCCCGACACTCTGAAGCACACCTGTATCGCTATAAAGTGCACTCACAGGTTTGGCTACATACCTGTACATATCCAACATTTCCCTCGCTGTTGCCTAAACCACCCAGGATAACAGGATAATGAGGGTCAAAATTCAGGACAAATTCACATGGAACATTCTCAATCTCTATTCGAACATACATCCCAGGTCGGAAGCCCTCATACTGCACTCTGGTCTCATCATCTTGATCTTCAAATTCAGCTCGATTAAGCTACGTGACAAAGAGGAAATCACCACGTGTTTTACAAAATTCATGTATTAACAACTTGTTCATGAGGTGCCAGTTCTATTTAAAACATGCTAACATTTATATAAATCTTTCAGGAAAGATCTGATAGGTTTTGTGACTTTTTGTTCAGAGCAAGATCTCTGCCACCATGAATTCCTTCCAATTTGAAATCCCAAGTGGGCCTGTTAGTCTACTTGAAAGACAGTATCCAAGAGAAGCAAATGACTGAGTGACTTTTGGTACACCTTTCATAATAGTGAATTTGGATTTTAAAGATAAAATTGTCAAAAGTATGTTTTTGATTTAGGAGCACAAGTACCTTTTAAAGTTAACAACCTGATCTTTAAGGTGTCACTTTATGAGGAGGCTGGGCTCCTATCTTGTTCGGCAGCTTAAAAATATTTCTGTGCATCCTCACACTGTGTATCAGCGAAAGGGTCTTTTAAAACTCTTCCGTCCTCTATGCATGCAGATATTGTGTAAATATTTAACAAGATATCCCTGTGAACAACAGAAGCCTCATCCTCCTGTTCTAGCTCCTGATGTTCAGCTACCTCTAAGATGCCATGTTTAAACAAACAATTATTAATTTCATTTCTCAAGGTACTGAGATATGGCACAAGTCTTCTTGTCCAAGTTTATTTTTCTAGAAGCCTTTACACATCCCCAGTTTGAGATCCTTGCCCTTCCATCCTGCAGTAGGAGTACTGCTGATATGTGTTTCTGTAACAGACCTCAAGTGAAACAGTTGTAAATCATGTTGCATTCTTTTACTGGAATGTCCTTCTTTATGCTTTAACTGCTCTTAGTAAGTACCTCAGCATACCAGAGCTCATATGATCACTTATAACAGAAGCTAATGCAAGAAGGTAAGAATTAATTTAATGATTATTTAGCGCAAGATTTTGACAGAAGGGAAGACAGTGAAGTTACTAGCAATGTAAGGCAACGTTCTTCCAAGCCAGACAAAGAAAGAAGCTCCTTTGAAGCTTACAAGATTTTATCCAAAAAAAACCAAGGCCTGGAACAAAATCAACACCTCCAATTCTGGATACGGTTACCCTGGAGACTTACCACATGTACAGAGCAATGGTCATCAATTATTTTTTCCTCAAAATAACTTGACAGATTGATGAAAAGAACTACCACATAGAACTTACTTATCCATTAAAAACATTGCAAAAATCACACTGAAAATAATACAAGGACAATATTTCACACAAATTAGCAAGTGAAAGATTTTCACCTTCCTACACATAAAAGGATGCTTTTTTTCCCACCAACCCCATGCCCTCCTCCTGGAGGGGAACCTTCTCTCACATTTTTTGGGGTTTTTTGAGACCTGTCATGATAGTTCCCCCACTAAGGGACAAACAGATAACTTTTAAAAACTTTTAAGCACATGACGCTTAGATGACACATCCTGACTTACTCAGTGTTTTAGAATACGGTTTACTACTTAAGTCAATTTAAATTAAACTTTCAGTTGTTTGGCTTGTTTGCTTGTTTGTCGTTCTAGCTAATGGAATCAAAAAGATCAACCATAAAAAAATCTGCAAGCACGTATTTCTTTGTGTGTACTTTCTGAAGTAGCTCCTGAATGCCACGTGTGTCTCCAGGAAAAAGCCTGGGCAAACCCTCTGGGGTATTTTTGAAGACATATAGACAGATAAATTGACAGTTAACAGCTTGTACCTGGGCTTGTTTATGCATTTCTTCTTTAAGATCATCAAAGTACGTGGCATCCCCTTCATCATACTCTGCATCAAACATTTCTTTTAGTTTCCGTTTCTTGTCCATGCGCTCCTTTTTCTTTTCCTCCTCCTCAGGTTCTGGCTTCGACATTTTTCCATCTTCTTCCTCTTCTTCACTTTCAGACTAATCAACAATAAGTTATCAAGCATGTAAAACGGTTCCTTGAAAACAACCCATTCTGATTAGCAGTTTAACATTTATTAAGTAATATTTTGGCATAATGCAAATTATTAGACATTTTTAAAATATTTCAGTTTTAGACAGAAATTAGTAAATTATTCATACAATATGTAACTTCATCAATAACTGAAACATATGATTTCATAGTCTAATCATAGCCCTTTTCACTGAGAAAACTTCCCAAATTAACATTTATTTTAATGTCAGGGAACAGACCATAGAACTGACCTATCTGTTATTCTACAGCTAAAATAAGCACACATAATATAAGAGGACAAAAAAGTAATTGTTGATATCATTGAGTAATACTGTGCTGGAAGGCAGCACTCTAGAGGCCAGAGAGGAAGAAGTTTGTTCACAGACCATTTGAAAACTGCCCAAATGATGCCACTACCCTCAATTTTATAATGAAATGCAAAGCCATCACGCTCAGTCTGAAAAAAAAAAAAAAATTGATTTTTCAATCTGTATTGTCACAGACAACTACAGCTCTGTTCTTGGAAGATATCCAAGCCACAGCACAAAATCACTTCCATCAGCCTCTTTTACGCAGGTATGAGGAATGACTAGGAAGCTGTCAGTTTCCACAATTCGTTATGTTTAAACAGAGCTCTATAATCTTCTGCATCAGATGAAATGACATAATACAAACAGTTATGATCATATCTGGTTTCAAAATACTTCTCTCATACCTCCAGATCCTTCAGCTCTTGATTAAGCCTGACACCTACTGTTAAGTGAGGTGACTTTTCCTACATAATTGACTTTAAACAACAATTCAGTTTGAGACTAAAAACATGTAATTCTAAATATTTAAAGGTTCCAAAGTCCATAATACAGATACCTTTTCTTCCTTGTTCCCACTAATTTCTCTCCTATTGATTCATGAGAACTGAATTTATTACATAGGATGCCTATCATGTGATCAGAAACTAATCTAAGTTGATAAAGAACATAAAAATACCCATCAGACCTCATCTCCTTCAGTAGAGGGCTTTCCTTTGTGCACAATACCAGTTTCAAGATCTTCAAAATCTCCATACAGTTCTTCTGCAACAATAAGCATCCACGACATTGAACAGTTAACCATTCTGTTACACTGCAGTTAACCATCCTGCTGTACCGTTCCATAAAATTTCTCACATTTTTAGTAATGTGTATTTCTCAGTACTGCTTTGTAGACTAGTTTCAGCCCAAATATTTATTTTTCCCATCAACAGTTTCATAAGTCTGCTCTGCCCTCTCTACTGTTTCAGATGAAAATTCTCAGCTGAACTTCAGTGGCTCTTCCTTTTTCCTTTCAATACCTGTAACTTTATGATTTCAAAACTGTAAACAAAGTTTAGATCATTCCAAAGGATAACATAGCATATTAGTTAGAACTCTAATGACATAAGACACCAGCAGAGCCACAGAGGTCCTATCTTCAATTTAAAAAAATAAAATTAATAAATTTAAATATAGCAGCTAATTTTAAGTTCAAAACAAACTCTTATAGAAGCCTGTCAAACCACAATCATTTTGCACATAAGATACAGCCATATTATTAAAATTTTATACATATTTCCTAATTTAAGAAAACAATCAAAAATAACTCTTCCAAAACATCTGGAGATAATTTCACTTTTCTCCCAAATGTGAATGACCAGTTTGTCTTCCCATTAGAGAAGAATTTTTGCTTATTTCTACCAACACTATCCAAAAGAATAAACCATCCATAGAGGATGTATAGCTAAACTCAGATACATAACTCCAAGTTGGCATGGGCAAGTGTTGACTAAGGACTCAATTTCCTAATTTAAATTATACACCCTATTTTTCAGAGATCAAATTTTCAGAATGTGCTACTTGCCTACGGTTTGTACAGAGATTTACAGCAATGTTTAACTATATTAGTATCCACATAATACTTTATGTAATAGCTTGAAAAAATCTGCGAGTATATCACTAATACAAAACATTCCACATATAACTATGAAGTCGTACTTTTCTTAAAAATCCTGTTACATTAATCATTTTTAGAAGTCTTACACATACCATCTTCCTGCAACAACTTTGCTGCATCTTTATCATCTTCCCACTTTCCAGTAACAAAGCAGTCTCGAATACTGCTCATAACCTGCAAGATAGTAGTGTCATTGCCTTGGACAGTCACAGCTTGTCATCAACAGAAACATTCTCCAACGTGTTCCCCACTCCTCCATCAGAGATACCACCTCAGAGATAATCAGATATTCTCACACAGAGCTCCACATCAAGACATCATTACCAAAACTACACAACGCCTCAGCAAAAGCAGGAAAAAAACAAAGGTCTTTACACTTGCAAGGTCACTACCCTGCACATCTTCACTCCTGATTCCTCTGCTCTTTACTTTTCAGTAAATAAAGAGCAAATTATGATCCACCAAATAGTCAAGAGAGCCAAGCATTAAATTGACTTATTCTAACTTTCCATTCGTGTAAGAACAGACCTTGTAATCTGTTAGCTAGTAAATACTTTCAACGACAGCAAGTAGCAGAAGAGATGACACTCTGGCTGCAGCTCCCTGAGGTCTGTTTCAACAACAAGTCAAGTAGTACTTTAAAAGAAACAGCCAGGACATAACCCGTATAGGATACACAGAGCAAGAAACAACGGTATTACCTCTTCTAAATCCCAGTCTTGCAGCTTTTCTATCAGAAATTTGGAGCAGTCAAGAGCATTAGCATTCTGTTTGGATGCCTTGTCTGGACGGCTGACATGAAACAAACCTCCAAGTTCATCATCTGCATCCTCACTCTTGTGGTCCTCATCCTCAACAACTAAATGAAACATATAAGCTGTGATTATTTCCCCCACAGTACGTGGATTACATTCATTAACAACCTCTCTTCTGCCTTGTGTTTCACAATACCTGCAGCAGTTTGAAGAAAAAAAAGATACAAGCCAAAAATACTTTAAAATATAAAAGACTGCAGAAAAAGGTACACTGATCCAGTGTAAGAGTTGAATTAAATATCCTCACAACAACAAATCAAGGTGAGCAGGAACCAGGGAGATACTATACACTGTGATCATAGTGAGCTTCAGTTGTACAGTTGTTCCATATGCAAACATAAATATTCCATTTCACAAATTACACATAGATCAAATTTATTTGAACAAACGGAAATCTGATTTTGTTTGCATAACTGGAATCATCTGAAAAAATACTGTCCAATAAGTAAACACAGGATGTTAATTCAATATCATAAACTATCTGTGAATAGAAGTGACATTAAGCTAGTCTGTAAATCAAGAAAACCGAACTTGAGAATCTCTCAGCAAATCTTGCTGCTCCCGCACTGTGGAAGGCTTACAAAAGCCAAATTCTCATTGTGTTCTACAGAGGTTCTGCATGATGACATTTGTACACTCAGGCAACTACTGGAAAAGTTGCAAATTAAACAGGACAAATTACATAAAGAGCAATTTTATCTTCCTTTTAAGCCAGCCATCTTTTTTTTCCTTGACAAAACACTCTTATTACAGACATAATACTAAATCAAATCTAAGAGAATATTCCACTCCCAGTCACAGTGAGACAGAAATTCCAGAAAACAGACAAATGACATCCCTTTATGAAACACATCAGTTACCACAACAGATTTCCGTAACGTCTACCATATAAATGACTGAACTTTAAATGTTTGAGGAGAAATAGTTGTACCAGAAAACTGAGTAAAAATTGAGTACTCTAAAAAATTAGCTCTAAATGCTTCTTATTGAAGTAAAAACTGTTTTTATTACAATTTACTAGTGTAAACAAGTATCAGCAATCAAAAAAGACAACTAACTCTCCTCAAGCCTTCCACCAAAAGACAGTGCTCAAAGATTCAGACTTCAAAACTCAGCAACTACTGAAAAGCTATCGGATATTAAGACAGTACAAGTTTCCAAACAGACTTGTACCTGTTCCATATACGAGTTTACGAAGATTGGGGGTTGAACGTTGCTGTCTTAGGAAGGCCTGAGCTGCTTTCTCTGTAAGGTCCTCTTTCCACTTAAGTGCACCTGAAAAGGGAAAAAAATTGCATTCCATCTCCAAAAAAGAACAAGAATTAGGAGCTACACAAATAATTTAAAAAAAGACATGAAAACAACAGGCTTAAGATATGTAGACACAACCCACAGTTTCTTTTTTTTTATAGACTGTACATACACTGAAACACAAATTGTGGCTAACAAATTATATCACTGACTTTTTTTTTCTGATGAGTCCTAATTTTAAGTCAAAATTTTAGAGATTATTAGCTATAACAGATTTTATTATTTTCATGATGATACATGTCTTCTTCAAAGACTCGCAGAATGGCTGAGATTGGAAGGGACTTTTGGAGGTCATCCTGTCCAGCCCCACTGCTCAAGCAGGGTCACCTAGAGAAGGTTTCCCAGCACCATGTCCAGACAGCTTCTGAATATCATCAAGGATGGAGATTCCACAACTTCTCTGGGCAACCTGTTCCAGTGCTCAGTCAGTAGCTAATACATTTTAGTAACATTCCCCCAGTGTTTTATTCTTTCTAAATGTAATAGAGCATCACAATTTGTTTTACACACACAGCCATAAAGATTAACGTATGCAGAACCAATGAAGTTCATAAAATTAATCACCCCAGTTTTAGAGGAAGGAAAACCAAGACCTACATACTACTTTGCAAATCAAAGGCCTAGCAGCAGATAACCCCAAATTTCCTAACATGAAATTTGACACTTAACAATTATATATATACATATATATTGGATGGGTAACAGTTATATTTACTAATTATAATATCCTTTAACAATGAACGCAATTAAAAATGGACAGTAAAAATTTAACATTTACAGTCTACCTGTCGTGTCAGCAGAAAAATCTATTTTTTCTTCATACTCCTCTTCCTCTCTCAGTAGATTTTCCACATCATCATCCTCAGCTTCTACAGCTTTAAGTTTAGTCTGTCTAATACTATCAGCTTTCTTTACTTGAGTGTGCTGAAATTCCTTCCCATTTGACTCCTCAACTTCTAATTCATCATGTGATCCTTCATCATCACCCTCCTCAAGGGAAGAGTTTTCAGCCTCAGATTCTGATGCCTCTTCTGCTGTGCAGTTTCCTGAATCCGTAGTGAGCACTGCCTTTCTTTTCAGACTGCGATCTGAGATTCGTGATCTCGTTTCTGTATCTTCACTACTTATTCCATACTGCTTAGATTCAGCTACTCTTTTGCTTGCAGCCTCAAATTCACTATCTGAGCTTTCATTTTCATAAGTACTTTCATCATCCTCCTCCTCATTTTCCTCCATCTCATTCTCTTCAGGGGCAGTTTTTCCTTCTCCTTCAGAACTCATCTCAAGATCGTCATCACTGTCTGCAAATGCTGGAAGTTCATTCACAGCTTCTTCTTTAGCCACCTCTGTTTTCAGACGTTTGGCTCTCCCAACAGCCATCTCTTCCCCTAACAGCTCTCTGTCACCTTCTTCCTCAGCATCATCTTCATCATCACCATCACTTCCATCCTCAGACATTGCTGCTTCTTCTTGGTCGTCTTCCTCATCACTTACTGCATCATCATTTTCTTTCTCCTCTTCTTCAAATACTGCCTTTCGACGTACTCTTCCAGTCTTCAAATCCACCTGTCTTTCTTCCTTTGGCATCACAAACCTGTTTGCCCAAAGATCACATTTGGGGTAAGATGCTAAAGTGCAAGGAAATTTTAATGACACAATGAAGCTGCATATTATTTTTTTTTTTTTTTAAGCAGAGCAAACTTAAGGAGAACATCAAAATGGCAATGGAGTTCACCTCAAATTAATTCAAGAGTACACCCTATGTTATAGCCATAAATAATTCCAAGAAATGTCTTCATTTTCCATGGAATGAAAATAGGTTAAATAGCTTATATAATTAACTTTACTGAAGATTATGAGTGCCATTCTCCAAAACTCTGAAGAAAAACAAAAATACACTACTTAGGGCTATATCAGCAAAGAATACCTGGAAGACAGGACTACACCGCTTGCAAAACTTTTCCAATGTCAATTATTCCTGTCTCAAAATACATATGCAGCATAAGAGTAGTCTCAGAAGAGGAAGAATTAGGCAATAACCCATTCTACTAACTGTGCTATATTGAGAATTTTTCCTAAATTGGAGCCTGGAATTAGAAATTCATTCATTCTCAAATACTGCTCAGCATTCAAAACTTACTCTTGTCCTACATCTTCTGAACCTAAGGGTCTAGAGTCCATGAAGAGAGAGACTTTGCTTGACGCCATCTTGACATCAATGGCTGAATGTGTGGAGATGAGGCTCTGAACTAGTTCGTGATTTGGTCTCACTTCTTCCTGGAAAGCCAAGATTTTTTACTTTTCAATTAAAATGATTAAACCAATGTCTAGTGAACAGCTAACAGAGTCACTAATCTGCCTAAAACAGCAGAAATATCCATATGCAAGAAAAAATTCAAAAGCATTTTAAAACAAACATTTCCTCAGAATAGCAAGGTCTCCCTTCCCCTTTTCACATTTCAATAATGCATATAATACTAACCCAAGAAAAATCCAAGAGGACCTCCTTCACAGTATGCAACCACTACAGTAAATATCAGCATGCACAGATTATCATAGACTCAAATGTATTTAACATTTAGCACAATAGAGGGGAAAACAGCTCAATTCAATCTGCTTGTATGCAAATGTTTTCCACCTCTCCCTTTGACCAGTCAAATCCTGTAAGCTTTCTCCCACAGTCACCCTGCCTTGCAAAATAAGAGTGATGATATCCCAGTACCCTGCAGGAGTTTTTATAAATCTTAAGTCAATGTCTGGAAAGTTTATGAAACTAATGTTAGTTACTTCTTATTAACTGATCCTTCAAATGTTTTGCACAATATTTCACAGAGATAATAAAAACATCCCTCCTCTGAAAGCACCAGAGGAAAAAAGAAATTACCCTTTACGGATATATAAGGACTGATTATTTTAAAGAAGCTTATTTTTAAACACATTTTTGACTCTAAGCATAAAAACTACATCTTGCAAGAGAATTCAAGTCGCCAACAGCATTCCCTTACCTCTTCTTTTTCATGAGCATGGCTTCCACCAAGGTCAATATAAACAGCATCTTTATCATATACAATGCCCCCAACGCCTGAAAGAGGGGCATAGACTAGTTTCTCTTTCTCATTTAAAGAACGCTTCTTCTGCTGTTCAGGTAGAGCACAAGGGTCTGGCAGGAAACTCACATCACTCACAGTAAAGTCTCCTACACCTGGGGTGGCAGACAAAGGAAACAATAAGGTTTTCACAAAGTTTTGATTATGAAATTTGCACAATTCACCATGAAGAGATTAAAAAAAAAAAAAAAAAAAAAAAAACCCAAAA